ACCAAGGGTCCGAGTCCCCAGCAAGGCAATGCGCAGGGCACCAAGGGTCCGAGTCCCCAGCAAGGCAATGCGCCGGGCATCAAGGGTCCGAGTCCCCAGCAAGGCACTGCGAAGAGCACCAAGGGTCCGAGTCCCCAGCAAGGCAGTGCGCAGGGCACCAAGGGTCCGAGTCCCCAGCAAGGCAGTGCAAAAGGCACCAAGGGTCCGAGTCCCCAGCAAGGCAATGCGCAGGGCATCAAGGGTCCGAGTCCCCAGCAAGGCACTGCGAAGAGCACCAAGGGTCCGAGTCCCCAGCAAGGCAGTGCGCAGGGCACCAAGGGTCCGAGTCCCCAGCAAGGCAGTGCGCAGGGCATCAAGGGTCCGAGTCCCCAGCAAGGCACTGCGAAGAGCACCAAGGGTCCGAGTCCCCAGCAAGGCAGTGCGCAGGGCACCAAGGGTCCGAGTCCCCAGCAAGGCACTGCGAAGAGCACCAAGGGTCCGAGTCCCCAGCAAGGCAATGCTAAGAGCACCAAGGCTAAGCTTAAAAGTCCAGGGAGTCCTTGCCCCAAGCAAGACACCTTTTTGTGCAGCAAGGCAAAGAACAAACCCGTGGTGAGTCCATGCGTCCGGCATGGCACTGCTGCAACTGGTATGGACGAGACCGTACATGCGGTAGACCAGTGGCCTGAGCCAGTCAGTGCATCAGATGACAAGGCAGCGAATGACAGTGTGATGGGTCTTTCCCCCCACCGAGGCATTGCTGTGAGCGGCAAAGCAGAGAACCAAGGTGTGTGAGTAATGTTTTGCAACAGGAATGTCTTTCATTACTATCATTATATCACTGTCAGTAGCATTATCCTATATAGCAGGGGTGGCCAAACTGAAGCTTGGGGGCCACGTGCAGCTCCCTCACACAGTCTAATTTAATGCTGTTGTTGTTTTTCAGTTTACTTTTTTATTTTATAACACCAAACTAACAAAAACCAAGGACAAAACAATTTAATGTCAATAAAAAGCAAATTTGTGTAATGTTTGTTCATGTCTTGCGGCTCTCAAGCATCAGACATTTATTCTGTGTGGCTGTTACGTTAATCAACTTTGGCCACCCCTGATCTATTCCGACCTGGGATGCTGACACCTTTGGGACTGCTTCTCCCAGCATAATCCTTCCCATCTTCTCTGATCATCATTTTGTTACCCAAAATGATCTAATTAAGTAATTAGCGGATTGGGGAATTTTGGTTTCGCAAGAGGGGGTAACGTGAAATCCTTTCACCTGTGAACACAGGGGTTCTTCCCTGAGAACTCTGGAACCAAGCAGATGTTCTACTTGTAGCGTTTTAATTAGAACATCATAGGTGAGTAAATATGTGCACAGAACTTGCAAGGTAAATGAAGGAGAAAAAGGATGGAAAATTGGGATGGAAACAGATATGGAGAAGAGGTTATATCTACCGGTCCTGAAGAGATTCAGGTCCGTCTGGAAGTTTAGAGGTCTGCTAAAGAGCAAGGCGACCACCGTCTTGGGTGTGAAATTGCACACATGCAATGTGGGTAGCTTGGGCATATTTATACCCAAAAATAATTCCTGAGGGTATGCTGATGTTTTGCATCAAAAGGACAATGTTTTCGTGTTTACCAGAAAGCTCCAGAGACCTGGTCAAATGGTTAATAGCTATCCCAGAGGGATAGCAAACTGTTTGGCTGAGCTTGATTGCTTCCCCATAGATGATAGTATCTGTGGATGCCCCTTGCTGTGCAGTATGAAGAGGAACTTCCAGGTGTTGTGAATATGCTAAGTGGACAAATGGGGGAACCAGGATGGGGATAAAAGAGGTTACCATAAGGTGTGATGCTGTTTTCCTAAGAAACCCCAGTATTGTAGAATATACATTACTTTAGGATGAAGGAGAACTATTAGCAAGCCAGCCTCCTTCGATGAACTTCCAGATAGTTCCCCCCCCCCAGGCGGTACCTACCATTCCTTGTGGGGTCATTCCTAGGCCAGACAGTGAGATAAATTTAATTCCTAACTGGAGTGATTTTCTTCCTTGTAGAAAACCAACTACCCCTCTGTGAGATGGCACTGACTGGTAACAATCTCAGAATGTATGGAAGGTCCCTGGTTCACAAACGGCCTGCCTTGAGTCAGGAAGGGCAATGACCTTGGCATTAGGGGGGGGCCTGCCCTGTGGCACCAGCTGCCTCGAGGCGTGTGTCTTGTGGGACCTCCTCAGGCTCCAGAGGATGTGCAGGGCAGCTCTTGTTTGGGGTGGCCTTGGGGTGATTGTGATCCTCCAGGCGACTGGTGAATCCTGCTCCAGCTGTGTCTTCACCATCCATCCATGCTACCCTGCTTGTTATTGGACAGATGTTAACTGGGGTAGATTTTTAATTCTTTTATATTTTTAGAGTTTGTTTATTGGGTTTTTTGTACCACTTTATTGCTCATATTTTGTATGTTGTTAGCTGCCTCATTTCCAAATCAGGGGAGAGGGAGCAGGATATAAATTTGGTCACAGAGTCAACCAGAGGGGTGGTGATCTTGGACCTGGTTCTGAGCGGGTCTCCAGACCTGGTGAGAGGGGTAGAGGTGGTTACACCTGTTGGGAACAGTGACCACAATGCTATTTAAGTTCAGCATTCAGGTCAAAGGAAAGGTACCCCTGAAGTCCAAAATGGTAACATATGATATCAGAAGAGGAAGCTTTACAAAAATGAGGGGAATAGTAAAAAGGGAGCTGAAGGGGAAACACAAAAGAGTCAAGTCTCTCTGGAGGATGCTTTGAAGCTATTTAAAGCCACACTAGATGAAGCCCAAATAGAATGCATTAGGAAAGGCACTTCCAAGTCTAAAAGAAGGCCTGTGTGGTTAAGAACACAAGTCAAGGAAGCGATAAAAAGTGGAAGGCCTGCCCCAAATAAATTGAAAAGGAGGGACCACAGGCTCTGGCAAAAGAAATGTAGCTCCCAGGTCACACGACTTGGCTGGAAGGAGGGCTGCTGGGAGTGGGCGCCCTTTATACTGCAAGCTGGGTCTAAGCGGGAGGGCGGGGCCGCGCACTACTTAGACCCTTGCGCTGTGAGGAAAATCTGTGCACTGGAGGCCAGAAATCGGTATGCCCAGCACACATAGCACAGCTTAGCAAGTCCACTGGTGTGTGCGTAGAGGAGTGTAGATGTCCACATTTGAGAGCCAGTTTGGTGTAGTGGTTAAGTGCGCGGACTCTAATCTGGGAGAACTGGGTTTGATTCCCCACTCCTCCACTTGCACCTGGCTGGATGACCTTGGGCAAGCCATAGTTCTGATAAGAGCTGTTCTTGAAAAAGAGCAGTTTCTGTCAGAGCTCTGTCAGCCCCACCGACCTCGCAGGGTGCCTGTTGTGGG